ACGTATTGTAATATAGTGTGTTCTAAATTATACGACCCCGCGGAGGCGTTCACAATAATAATATAAAAAAAAAATCAACAATTTAACTGTATGTTATTAAACCCGTAATGAAATAATATGAGAGTCATACCTTCCTACAATATACGATATTAACAATATAATGTTTGTTTGCATAATCATATTAGGGTCAATATTCGTTATTACATTATATGAAATGTGCATAATAATACCCATCGTATTTATTATAATAATATATCGGACTTCAACAAATATTACGCATCGATAAATGTGAAAAGCCAATAATACAGATACATATATGTAGTGCAAATAAAATACCCAGGTAATTCAATTCAAAAATAATGACGAGATTAGGACGAGGGAGGGAAAAAAATATTAAATATAGGCACGCTATTATAACAGATCGATACGAGTGCGGAAGACCGGAAGAAAAGCTTTTCGTTTGTTTACCGTATGCACGTAGGTATATTTGCTGCAGTTGTTGTGTACAGTAAATACTAAATAATGATAATATTACGCAGCCATCAGACGGGGCCAGTTTCCTGTGAGGAAATTCGACGTCAAAGTAATAACATAATTATCATTTCTCATACCTATATATATAGATGAAAGTRCCCTGAGTGCTCGGAATTAAACAAACATTAATTGTCACGAGAGCTGTCGGTTCAAATGATGTAATAATAATTATATATATATATATATACAGACGTCACTGCGACAACTTCCACACCTCTTTGCTGCGGAGAAATGCCGTTAAAAAAAAAAAAAACGAAATTTCCCCCGCACACACACGCACACACAGTTTTGTTGTATAATAATAATAATAATATGATGACGTCTACGGGGATGAAAAATACCATTTATACACCTCGTCGTTACCGGAAATTGCGTCGCATCGTTTTCGATTACGAACCGTCGCAGAGCGAGTCATTCGACATCGACATAATGATGTCACGAGGCGATCGCACGATATTATTATATATTAATATCGTAAACGACTTCAACGCGTCATTGCTGACGTCGTCTCGTCTACGATTTTGCGGGATTTAAATCTATTACCAGCCCTTTCGATACGAAGCTGTTAGTACAACTACTGTATCCTTGTCGGCGGGGTAAGGGGGTGGTCGTGTTCCACGGAAATGTCTTTAGCAGTCGTGCAATAATTGCCATCGCCATGACATATTCTGTGCCTATATAAGTGATAATAATATTATAATATTATTCCGCGCGATGAACCGGTTAGGTGGTGGCYGACTGCAAGCGACAATTTCGGAAAAAAAGTAAGATMAAAATACGAATAACCTGTAATATGCAAATCAACCTATGTATAAATCGTTTTCCCATTTTTCACCTCGTGGGCGATGCTAAACCCGTACCTAACCGGTCAGGACWCGCGCACACGAAGCACTGACATCACTGGATAGTGTCGGACAGTACCAAAAGAATCCCACGCYTACGTCTTGTCTACAACCTCCGATCGCGGTTTGGACCATGGTATAATAATATACCAAGACAGCGACGGCGGTATCTTCGGCCACCGATATCGTCGCAATTTATGCCGGTATTATACTACGCTATTATGTAAAACGTATATTATCATAATATTTTATAGTATACACGTACATCGCCGAAGATATAAGACTGCAAAAAGATATTCTACCCGACCTTTAATAACAATAATAATATTACAGTGCAGTTATCACGATATACGGAGGAAAATAATATTGTTGATATCGAACGACTGTAGGATGACGAACGGCAAACTTGAGGGAAAAAATCATTAACGATTTGAAACTTTTCCAACTGCACCATGTGTGCTCGTGCCTTCAATTCTGCGACGACATCGCGGATAAAACTTTTCGCGATGACGCACTTTTGAACAGGTTTTCCGTACCCGACAGTTTTGCTGAATAAATAAAGCGATCGAGATTGAAAACCMCATCATTATCCTTTCGTCAAGGTTTTCACATTATCACTCTGATTTTGTTGTAATAGGCATGTATACAATAATTATTATTAATATCATATGATAGACAAACACAGCCGTTACGGAGTAGGTATAGTAATGACAAATGGTTGTTGCGGCACTACCTATACGTATCGTTATTATTTATTTTTATTTTTGACCTAACGGTGGAAGTATTTACAAACAATTTGCACCGTTTGCGATGATGTACATTAGCGTTATGAACTTTGAAAATAAATCAAACGTACGAGTTTATAAGCACTTATACTTACGATAAATTCGGTTTTAACGTGTACGATATAATAACATAAAGTTGCTATATTTTGATATTCGCATCGCATATAGTGCGTTTAATGGTCGACAATAAAACAATAATAAAATGCCCAAACTATACAGAAGTGTACATTTTCCGTTCCACGAATAATATAGTTACAAGTATTGTAAACAATAATTTATAGTATTTTTATTACAAAAATAATCATGCGTTTTCATTAAATAAGTCATAAAAACGGTCAGCGTAACGGAAGTACCCTAACAGAAACATTGTATGATATTATTGTACTACTGTTCTTACTACATAGTACATACATGCATACATACATACATACATACATACATACATACATACATACATATTACATATTGTATACATATAAATATAAAGTGAGGGCTCTTTGTTCGGTAAAATATAATGTCGGTTAATTGTATTATCAAACTATATAAAKGACGTATGTTATTATATTCACGAATAAAAGTTGAATTCCATTACGACATCACTAATAAAAACCAAAAACCAAAATCCTAGTATGATAATAAAAATCAAATTGAAAGACGACTATAATTATATGAGATGCGTACTAATAAACCTATTGGATTATAAAACGTTTAAGAGGCGTTAGAAAAAAAATTAAAATTTGAAAACTTTTTATTCGGAGTATCCTGAATGAGGTATAGGTGTCTTATATAATATTATAAACAATTAGAATTTTCGAAATAAAATTTATAGTGGATATTTAAGTGTTGAACACGACGATTAAACAATAATATAATATGTGACAACACCAGTGCAGTCTTGGTGTCGTTAAATTTTCTGAAAAACGATTCGTAAACATATTATATACACTGAAGAGATTTTTGTACACTTTATAATATAGCTATGTTTCCCCACCCCTTCCCTCGATTCCTGATGACCACGACAATTAACCCACATTATTATTTCAGACGTCGTGTATGATATCTTGTACTTTGATAAATTACACGTACATAAATTATTTTGTTATTGTGTAATGTTTTTTTAATGACGCGATGTAGTCCGTATATTATACTCAACAAAAACTTCCGACCCGAAACTATGTAATATAAAGTCAGCCCTCAAAAATATTAACTGAACTTAGCAGTGAATTCGTAGATCACTGCCAAAAACAAACAAACYGCATAAGTAAATATTATAAGTATTACCGAACAAACAACGAACAAAAAATATACATTTTTGATCTGGTTTCAAGATTCTGTGATCTTTATCTTTCCCCCTCACGCCACACTCAGTTAAAGTGGATGTCGCGCTCATTATCGTTATTATTTTAGAAAACTGTTTTTTGTATTTTATATCTACCTACCTGCAAAAAYGAATACCATTAACGTAAAACGCCAAACGGTCACGACTCTGTTGAATGGTGTGTGAAAGGTGGGGGTGGGCTAGGAGAGGGATGGACGCGTTTGTATTCAGAATTGGCCGCACGCGATTATCGTTTACACACGACTACCGATCGAGCGGTTTGTTTTGGACCGTTTCCAAGTTTCAATTTCTCGCCACGAAACGAAGAAGTGTACGCGCAAAACATTCCCGACTACTTGTTTGTATATTATACAATATTACATCAAAACTATATTTAAAAAAAATGCAATGGCRATAATCATTTTAAACCACCTGGAGTGGCGATCTTACACGTTTTCGTTTGTCGCTCCGAATCATATAATAATATACAACATTACAATTCAACCAGGGTTGTCTTTTAAATACAGAAAACCCAACGATAATTACTTCGTAACGTGACTATCTATATTATTATTTACAACATTATAATCGCACGGTACAGTTGTTGTATAGTTATCACGCTCGCGCTACGATAACTATTAACTATTTATAATATAAATATGTGTATAACRCCATATTATGTAGATCTCGTGATAAAGTTTTTTTTTTGTTCTTGTTGGTTGTTCCAACGCGATCGTGAACATTATTATTTTATTATCGTCGGTCCGGCCGACCGAGTGCTATAATAATGGCACGTATTATTATYGCGTTATGTGTAAGCACGTGTATATGAGCTTCCGATTAATTATTTTGTTATTGCAGCAGCTCGTAACTGCAAGGAAACTCGTGATTTTCTCTGAGATTTTTATCACATTCGCAATACACACTTTCAAGCAATTTTTACGATAACATTATGTATGTATAGAATGATTCACCAGTAATGGTCCTTTTTTCTTAAAATATACAGATTTTTAGTACTATCCTTTAATCCATGGTAGATTTATACATTTTAATAACTGAGAAACTACTCSATTAAAATTTCATACAAATTCAGCTCATTTAAAAATCTAATATGGAATCGAGAATGAATCTATAGAAACTGCCGTTAAAGCGTATGATTGTACTGAGTGAGTTGCGAATTTCTTTCTTTTTTTTTTTACGAAATGTGCRATTAATTGCACAACGATTTCAAAACGTCAACATCTTTTTGGATTTTGCGCATATTCGTGTGGACGCGGAGGGACTTAGAACGAGCGGACTAAAATATAATAACAATAATATTATACAACGTACCTTATATTATTATCCTACTTCCAGTTTCGGACGTTCAAAAATAATAATATGTCCGTTTAAAACGTAAACACGTCTCTCTCACATTTGACCGACCGAATAATACTCGACAGTAAATAAAACGCTTAATAATAATAATAATATATCAGTATATGGCACGACGTCGTGTGTAAGATGTGATGTTATATATACCTATAGTAATCGTAGGCCGACTGCAACGCAAACACGTACCTGTAACACAAAAACGAAAAAGAAAATTATTAGTTTATTTATCATATTATATATTATATTATTATTATTTTCGCCTATATTTTATTACATATTATAGTTTTCGTGTAGATATACAATATTTATTATATAGATATGGAAGAAAAAAACACTTTCGTTATATACTTGCAACTGCAGTGTTRTATAATAATAAAACATAGAACTATAGGTAGGTAATTTATTTTGCACGCGTTCCATATAAAATTATTATATACCCGTCGCGGGCGTATCCTGTATATAGTAATATAGTAAATAATATAATATTATACTATTACTATTATTAGGCACGTTTTACTGCCGTCGGAGCGCTCAATCAAATAAGTGCGATACGCGTTTTGTTTTTACGGCGGAAAACCGGGAAWATTCGCCCCGCGGCGCGTCCAATTCCCCACGGTGCCACATTATAATAATATTGCAGATGCGTGTAATATAATGTATATACATATATGTACTGTATTTGGTAGGTAGCTCGCATTCCTCCTTCGCATTCGTCCGCTACATAAATAGTATGATCTTACGGCAGCGACCTGCCACACGAGAGAAACAACGCCAAAAAAACATATATCATATTATCTAATATCGTACATATATTATTACTATATAGGTAGGTACCCAGACACAATATACATAGTAATGCTATACCAATCAATTGTAAGTAATTTTCTCGGTGAATTTGTGTTATTTTTATTACAATATAAGGGTGTAGACCGTCACATAATAATTTTTTTTGGAAAAACMAATTTATTTTTTCAAAATCATTTTCCAGATATTATGTCTAGCTGATGAGAGAATTATTCTGTGARCTGTATTATGTAATAATATTATRATGCCTAGTAATAATTGTTTTGAAGATTAACTTTTAAGCACAATAGTTAAAACGTTAAAAACTTAATTATGTTACAATATATCTATAGTTGTATTTAAWGTATTGAAAGTTTTCAATGCTTAATAATATAATAATATTTTATACAGACAGAAAGGTCGTATCTTATATTGAAATGATTCACTGTATATACAATACATTGTGTAACCTACAGCYGCAGTTGTATATACCGCTGTTGTGGTATATACAAATATATTTTACATGTCGTTTATTCGAGTGTACAGCCGATTCAAGCCCGAAGTACGAGTGTACCTATTATACATATATATTTTACACCATGTAATTGCGATAAATTTACTGTCGAGAGCTGTACACGACGCGAACGGACCTCAATGGAGATTATAGTTTACTCCTCATTTGCATAATACCGATTACTACTATGTATATTCGTTACAAGGATATATATATTATACACGAGGATATTTCATTTTATTTATAATGGAAGACGAACCGTAAACAATGACTGCGCGCTGGAATAAATAAGCGGTCGTATTCGAAGGATAAGCAATAATATCATCATCATATTGTAGGTAATGTGAGAATGATAATATTTTATAATCTGCGATTCACACGAGAATTAAAATAAAATGGTGGCCAAGGTTCGCACGGAATAATAAAACATATTAGGTATTATCGCGAACGGCTGTAATATTGTTATAAGAACGCGGTTGCTACGATGAAGCATATATAATAACTCAAATAAAAAATAACACTCGTACGCGATATTCCTATAAAGCAAAGGCGCAGTGAGCAAGTTAATAAAAATAATGAACTCGACTTGAGTTAAGTGAACACAATATTGTTCAATTAGAATAATTTAATCGTCTAATAGTAAACTTAGTAAACTAGTAAACCTAACTAGCAAAGTTTAAAGTCAATAGTTAAAATAAATAATATTAACTCAGTTTAGTTTAAAACAGGTTAGGTACCTAATTTACTTTTATAATTAGTACGAAAATCAAACACATAATGAACAGCATTTTTTACGTATCTATGAAATACTTTCTTAAATTTGTCTTATGAAAAAAACATAACAGAATCTTAGTACCTATATTAATAGACTAAATATTTTTATTTTAACCTTGCACAGTCTTTTTAATTTTAGTTTCATAWAATATTTTTTGCCAACCAACCGAAAAAACAAAAACAGTCATTTAATCTAATTAAGTTCTCGAGTCCATAAGACAATTARGTAACTATAGTCAAGTTTAGAAGCTTAAAAAATTAACTCTTTAACTCAACTTCAACTTAATAGCTATATATATATATATAGTTCATGCACTATGTACCTTCTCTATAAAAAGCGCGTACATTGTAGGTATATACTATTATAATTTTTAATAAAAAATTAATTGCATTCAATTATTGCCCCRCAGTAAAATAAAAAAATAAAAGGCGCGGTTGGAGTTCATTTTTCATTTCAGGAAAATCCAAAAGGGAAACCAGCMGTTTGACACGTAATATGCAATTTTTCGCGTATACACCTATATAGAAAATTATTCATTCGGTCCGTAAACCCCAGCRAGATGCATCTATTCAACTTTAGATTTTCTTTTTTTACGCGAGCACCGGAGAATTTAATTAGTTTAATGCATTTTTCTCTCGTAGATAGTGACTTTACAATCGTTATAAATATAATATATATTTTATTAATATACACTTAACCACCACACGAAAGCATATAAAGTTATAAGTGTGTATACATTTGRGTAATTAATTTTATGAGGTTTCGAAGTCCAGACGATATAAAAAATATTCACTCATTTTCTTGACCTCGAGGAACGTAATAATGATTATTCTAGTTTTAAAATATCATGATCCCTGCAACCACCGGTCACTCTGTATAAACACACAATAATAATACTACATTACACGAATAGTTAGTGCAATGCATTTATTTTCCAGTGCTCTATAATATATCGCACGCGGTACGGTTATTATCTTCGGTACATCGATTCTATCGTAGACCGCGGCGGCTGGTAACCGCCTGTACTAGTGTCGAGACGGGTCGGGTCCGGAATTTTAATTAAGCCACTTTTTTCTTTCAAAATCGTCCAATCAACGAAACGAGCGCTTGTTCGTGGGACGGCTAAGTCGGCTTGCGTTTCGTCTCGCGTCCGGGACGGGCTTACGTTCAATTTCAGCGATGTGGTGCACGTGCACTATGTACGGTTTATTCGAGACGGCCAAATCCCAATCGTGGTAGACACGATAGCGACGCTACCGCCGCTTCTACCTCCCACGACGATTTTTCCCCGATATTATATATATATATATAATGTACATACGTATATTAAACGCACTCTCTCGCTTCGTCGTTCGATAAGCTCCAAGTATATATTCGTTGCTACATAACCCGCGACGAGGGACGCCAAATCGGATTTCGGATCATTAGACTTGCTAGGGTGTGTGTCTGTGTGTGCACGGAGGCGATTGCGTTCACGATTTTAGAAAAAAAAGCTCGTGTGTACCAATAAAATGCTCATATTAAATTGTATGTATATATATACGTATATATATATTGACTTCTTAAAAATAACTTATATATATATATATATATATACCTATATATATATATATATAACAAACGGCGAGCGCTACCCTTCGACATAGTTTTGGTATTCCAGCAGTGTATGGCCACGACGACAACGGCGGGTAGGAAAGAAAAAAGGTCGCCGAACGCACAATTATATATATATATATATAAATCGAACTGTTCGGGGGTGATGGAGGGGCTGGGCAATCGGAAGGAAGCGGGGTAAAAAAACCGAAGAAAGAAAAACGACGCGTATGTATAAAAAAACAAATTATATTGTGTGTACCAGAGAACATAAAGGGGGAAAAACACTTTTGGACCGACAATTGGCCGGCGGTCGATTTTACGGTTGTTAGACAACCGTATTAGCCGCCTTAGTAATCTGAAAAACGCGCGCGCTCACATAAAATTTTCTTCGCGAAAAGTGCCACTCGATAATATACATTATTTAGACGAACGTGGGAGAAAATAAAACTCTCGTTTAACGACACACTTGCAGTATACTATATAATATATAAGTAGTTGCCGCAGCAATTGTCCAGTGACGTGTATGTTAGGTTGCAGCTATCGCTCGCCCGCTACAAGTTGGTATACATAGTAAATTCATCTGACGTATATAATGTACAAGAATGATTCTAGGTAGTCGGTATTTAAATATTTATTGGTTTTATTATTACTGTTATCGTCGYGACGAAATCATTTTTCTTTCATTTGGATATCGAAACCAGACGGACATCGTCCAATGGTGTGTACCAAACACGAGAAGAGAGGGTAATTAAAACAATTAAAAATTTGAAAACTTTTTGATAATATGTATACAAAATACATATACCTAATAAACATATAAATGTTTTATAAGACTGCAGTCTAATTAAAAATATGTTTGTGTACGCCACTGAGGAAATCGTTACTTTGCATTTTAAGTCTCTTTAAAATTCGCGTAGGATGCGTGTGGAAAAATGGTTTGAAATATATCGCGAAAATCCTTTTATATTTAATAATAGGTACCACGTTATTACAGAATGATTCTGCGTTACGTTCGGAAGTCGATGCGACAACTTACAAATATTTGGATAACACGCGAAGACTTTTGCCTAGAAAATTCTAAGCTGACGTAGCAAAAAAAAGAAAAGCGAGACGTGCTGAAAACACGGGCAAAAAGTAATCTGCGACTGCGGCGATAAGTGTACGCAAATACACAGGAAAATTATAATAATACTATTCTGCAGCAGTGTGTGCCCTGCACCGAGTAATTGCGTAGGTGTACTTAACTACCTGTAAGTACGCAAAGGGCCACTACTCGATTACCCGATGCAATTTCCATAATCTGCGGATTTCGCCATTGTTCRTTTAATGTCGTATTACATTATAATAATGTTATGGCGGACGCGTATAATACGACAAGGTGAAGGCATAGGGTTTTAGTCGCGATTTTAATGACCAAACATGTAGAACGATATATTATAATAATTTGTAAATGATTRCAAATTTCTTCGCGCAATCATTATGGTGAAGACGACAAAGCACGTGTCTCCCCGATCAAAG